GAAGAATTTGTAGAATAATATGGGAATTGTGTATTGTGCTCCTGCATCAGGGTAAAATGGTATCTAATTTTTGTTCTTGAAGTTAATATGTCACAATGATTTTTGTGAATTTGAAGCACTTGTTGTTCAGGTAAGAATAGTTAATGTACTTGGTTGTGGTGTTGGATTCTAAGAGGGAAACACAGAAATATGGTTACAAAGAATAGCAAGAAGTGGATGTCTCAAAATTGGGAATGGGTCTGTATGGTTTTGTATGCACAGAGGCTTGGAATTTTTTCCACATCTACAGTTGCTCAAATGCATAGTTTATTTTTCTTTCTTTCTTCGGTTAAGTAAATTCATTTTTCATTGACAGTTTCATGTCGTTTCAAATCTTGAGTCTCAAGTTCTCGATGTAGAATATAGTTAAAGAATTTTATTACCTGATAAATGTGAATGGATTGGCTTCATCTTATAGTTAATGAATTTGAGAGTAGTGCCGAACATGTTTTCTTTCCATAGAATGAAGATAACATGTTCTTTGATGGTTCTTTAAGTACTATACAAATTAGATTATAACTCCTTCTTTCAGCTGACATATATGTAAAGATTTTGTTTCGTGCACATTCTCTTGTTCTGAAAGCCACCTTCTGTTTTCAGAAAAAAACATGCGTATGTGGTGGGGGAAGTCATCATCGAAAGAATCAAAAAAGAAAACAACCAAAGAAAGTTTCATCAACACATTACACAAGAAGTTCAAGAGCCCAGAAAGCAAATCTTCCGGAAGATCAGGAGCCGCCGTCAGAATACGTTCGAGTGACACTGTTTCTGAAAGAGGTTCTCATTCGAGTTCACAATCACCTACAAAAAACGTAGCCCGATCACAAAGTCTTGCCGAACGGGCTCAAGCCCAACCGCTCCCTTTACCTGGCTTGGGCTCTGCGAATGTCTTCCGTACAGATTCTGCAAAAAGTGAACCCCCCGCAAGACCAAAACAAAAACGGGCCTCAAAACCATCGTTGTTTTTGCCTCTTCCTAGGCCCGCTTGCATTAGGCACAGGCTGGAGCCCACCGACTTGGATGGTGACTTGGCCGTAGCTTCTATTTCTAGTGAATGTTCAGTTGAGAGTGATGATCGACATGACTCACATCTGCCCAGTCCTTCAAGGTGAGCGGAGTTTCAAAATAATTCCAAAACGAAAAAAAGATGGACTCTTTATCTACATAATTTTAGTTTTCTGATTGAAATTCTATTTCTATTCTGAAAACGTGCGACTTCATTTTTTCGCTTGTATTTTCTTGCTGAAGCAACTCTATAAAGGATCAGTCACCTTTCGCACCGCATGTCCCGAAGGAGTTGCCACTACCTAAAAGGCGGCCTCTGAGCCGCCAAGTGGCGAATCTACAGGTTCCTCCCCGTAGTGTGCTTTACAGCGCACCAGATAGCTCGATTTCTAGTCCGTCTAGAAGTCCCATAAGGCCTTCTAATGAGCAGGCAGCGAATTTGGCTTTTCCCGCTGGAAAGCTTTATCCGGAACATTTCTTTCTTGGGTCCGGTCAATGTTCCAGTCCCGGCTCAGCCGAGACCTCCGGGCATAATTCAGTGGGAGGAGATTTGTTGGGCCAATTGTTTTGGCAGCCCAGTCGAGGAAGCCCGGAGTACTCGCCAAATCCGAGCCCGCGAATGACGAGCCCAGGCCCGGGTTCGAGAATTCAAAGTGGGGCTGTGACACCACTTCATCCTAGAGTTGGAGATGATGGTAAACAGAAAAGTCACAGATTGCCTCTTCCTCCTGTGACAATTTCCAATTCTTCGCCATTTTCCCATTCGAATTCGGCTGCCACATCACCTTCTGTACCGCGAAGTCCTGGACGAGCGGAAAATCTTGTGATCGCGGGCTCACGTTGGAAAAAGGGGAAGTTGCTTGGGAGGGGAACGTTTGGTCATGTATATGTTGGTTTTAATAGGTGCATAATCAGAATCGAACATGATTCTTGTATTTCCTTTAATTTTTATGGTTTTTGTCGTAATCATTTGTCTGATTTCCTGAACTAAATGTGATGGTTCTGTTGTTTTGTAGTGAAACTGGAGAGATGTGTGCCATGAAAGAGGTAACATTATTTGCTGATGATGCAAAGTCGAAGGAAAGTGCAAAGCAGCTTGGACAGGCGAGTCTCTTGATCATTATTCTTACGGAGAGGCTTGACTTGTTCCGACAAGACATTCATATCTGATTTGACTGCTCAATCCATTTATGATGACTTAGAAGCTTTTTAACAATCATTTGTATTGTGTACAGGAGATTGCTTTGTTGAGTCGCTTAAAGCATCCTAATATTGTACACTATTATGGATCGGAAACTGTGAGTCATATTTTTTCTGTTAATTTCTCCATAAAGACATGATACTCTAATTTTTCTCATGCCATTTTAGTAAATTGCAATTGTCAAAAGCCTAAATCATATTGTCAAATGAAGGAAAGATATTGCCGGGAACTGTAACGATTTTTGGTGGTGTGCACATTTACTTCTAGTATAATGCATTGAGCTAAATAAATCTTTAAAGCTAATGTTAATTCCAAACTGTTTACTCTATCAGGTGGATGATAAGTTGTATATTTATTTAGAATATGTATCCGGTGGATCTATCCACAAGATTCTACAAGAATATGGAAAACTAGGAGAATCTGCTATCCGCAGTTACACTCAACAAATTCTGTCAGGGCTTGCTTATTTACATGCCAAAAATACTGTGCATAGGTACGCGAGATAACTTTTTGTTGGTTCAATTTCTGTTTAAGGCCTCGTGTGCGACTCCTTTTTAATCATTGTTATTTTTTTTATATAACTTGATGCTTCGCATTTGTGGCAGGGATATTAAAGGAGCGAATATACTTGTGGACCCAAATGGTCGTGTTAAGTTAGCAGATTTTGGCATGGCAAAGCATGTAAGTATTACCAGTTCGTTTCCAGTGATTTTTTTTTTTTTTTTTTTCAGNCGTATTATTTCGTTGCATGGAGTTTATTATGCTCAACTTCAGTTTCTGACATATATTGTTTTTACAGATTTCAGGCCAATCATGTCCTTTATCATTTAAGGGTAGTCCTTATTGGATGGCACCTGAGGTTTGATTTGATTTTCTCATATAATTTTCCATTTTTACCCTCTGAAAATCGTCTTCATTCTTATTTCTCTATGTTTTGTTGGCTTAGGTCATAAGAAACTCAAACGGGTCTAGCTTACCTGTCGATATATGGAGCCTCGGCTGTACTGTTTTAGAAATGGCTACATCAAAACCTCCTTGGAGCCAATATGAAGGGGTTCGTTTTATCTGATCCCCGAAAAATTAAGACTTTATTTTCAATTCTATCTTTCTACATTATACACAAACATTATGTTTTGCCTTTTTGGTTTTTACAGGTGGCAGCTATGTTCAAGATTGGAAATAGCAAAGAACTTCCAACTATTCCTGAACACCTTTCGAACGAAGGCAAAGAGTTTGTGAAGCTGTGCTTGCAGCGAAATCCCCAGCATCGCCCCACGGCCACCCAACTTCTCGAGCACTCTTTTGTGAAAAATCTGGAGAAAAACATCTCACCGTCAGATCATCCACCTCATCTCAACAATGTTGTCAAATCAACGGTACAGTTGGTATAGTTAGATCGTATATTTTCTATCTCGTTTGGACAAATGAGTAATTATAATTCATCATACCTTATTTTAATAGGACAATGGCCATGCAAGAAGTCTTCAGCAGTTGGATACTGAGGGACTTGCTATCCACTCGTTTAGAGCATCGAAGTCTAATTTTCATTCGAGGTTTGAAATAATTTGTTATTTTGAGAGAAAAACACACAGATATCCAAAAATTACAGAAAAATGTTCGATCTTTTTTCTCTTTGCAGTGACATTTACATCTCGAGGAACATTTCATGTCCCGTGTCTCCAATCGGGAGCCCTTTACTCCGCCCGAGGTCTCCTCGAAACCTGAACGGGATGATGTCACCTTCTCCCATATCCAGCCCACGCACGACATCAGGCACGTCACAAGGGTATTTTGGTAATTTGACAAAGCAGCCCATGAGCCCCCGTGCATATAATAGCCCCTCTTATTGGGACCCAGACATTCTACTCGGGCGGCCCGTCACTGGAGAAATTTATGACGGGCGGTCGGGATTGGTCGAGATCCTGGATCAGCAGGCTCATCTTTTGATCTAACTCCTACACAGCTATTTTTGACTCGATTTTTTTTCTTTTTTCTTTTTTTTTTTTTTTTTTTTTTGNGGGCTTCTTTTTGGAATTAGAGCGGGTGAAGGTGGCCGTTGTTTGGCGGCAGCTTTGTAACATCTCGCCGGAAGCTTTTATTTTGTCCGGCGGGTGGTTAATGGTTTCGATTGTATAGCTGATTATCTGTGAGATCTTTGGCATTGAGATTGTATTTGTACATTGTTGCATTCTTGTTTGGGAAATGATGTAGGGAAACGTACAAATGGGAAGGATAAACGAGATACTCTCTCGGTAATACTCACAATCAATTCATTTTCTTATTCAATGATCAACCACTGAATAACAAAGAATAGAGGTCTTTAAATAAGACACTCAAAAACTCTAAAAGCTATCTTGTCCATCAAGTAACTAAATTTTTAAATACTAAAATAATAATAATAATAGTAATAATAATAAACTATCCACATTAAGAAGGGAAGAGAAAAGATTAAGCTGGGGAACAAACAAAACACAAGGGCTTTTTTTTTTTTACCTTCCAAAGTATGTCTGTTTTTAGATTTTGCCTGACGAACTTTTTTTCTTAACAAATTACTTTGCCTTACAAACTGACAATGTCTTATTTGTTAAAAACCCTAACAATGGCACAAAAAAGTTAACACAATTAAATTTTGTACCGAGGCTTGTGAAGTCTATGGTGAGACGAGTAAAATGAGGTATGATTTAACGATTTTTGAAAGATCTATGAAACCAAGTAACTAAATTGAATAAATAGACGGATCGACCCTTAGCCCGGGCTCGACCTGAGGAAAAGGATTGGGCCAACGGTGACCTTCCGGCATAAGACTTTGACTACAGGATTGGGCCAACCATGTAAGCTTGTCCTGAGGGAGCTCAGGTCGACGGATCGACCTCACGAACAGTAGAAGAGCTTGGGAAGACGATGTTCTACCTGATGAGCGTTCTACCTGAGGACGTGGACATAGTCTTACGGTAAGAGTATGACTGTCTAATAAAGATGAGAAGGCTTCTGACTCGAGAACTATGCAATACGAGGATTCGACCACGTGTTGTAACGAGATTGGGTCGTCTGCACACCTGACAAGCCTGACAGTCAGGTCGTACGGACGAGTAGCTTGGGTAGTAGGGTCAACTCTCAGGACAGACTTGGAGAGCAATACACCATACCTCTATATGAAAAGAGTGTGGTAGGTTAGTTTTCAGTTTACATTCTATCTCTACACTATTTACACTCAGTTACTGTTTATCATCTCCAATCTTGCACTGACTTAGGCATCAGAGGCTATTTGTCGAAAAACTATCCTTCTGGTGTTGAGTTTTTGCAGGTCGTAGAAGTTGTTCGAGGTAGAAGGAAGCAGATTCAGTTCCATCAGCCAGAGATAAAACCGATTGAAGCCCATTTCACTATTATTGGTGCGGTCTGTGGGAACGACGTTAAAAATGACAAATTTGAAACCATGGTGAACGAAACTCCTACTCTAAATCTGACACCCACATTTGCTGAGGCGTGGGCCAACCAGTCTACCAGAGCGTGGAGAGCAGATAATATATAAATACATACTTATAGTGCCGATCTAAAACCTAATTATTAGACGGGCTCATTCATTGCATATTTTTAATATAAATACATACTTATAGTGCCGATGTAAAAAATGTATTCAAACATTTTCGTATCTCTCTCAAACGCATATAGCGCCGATCTCAATTCACACTATGCCGATCTCCCTTAAATGCATACACTAGCTTATTTCTACGCATAGTCCACGCTTATACTCACGTAACTAGTTTGATAACATCATGTTATCAATACGATGTTATCAGACTTGTATTATAATAAATTATGATAACTAAATAAGTGATATGTCGAACTCCAACATAAATTATAAGTCTATAAAGAAAAATAAAAATCTGTATAATATATATTATTGTAATTGCGACGGCTTATGCATAGGGAAGAAAGAGTAGTACTTGTTTGAGAAATTAACTATTTATTGATAATATTTAAATATTTTAAAATTTTATATTCTTTAATTGTAAATAACAATTGTAAAATAACAATTTTTTTATAACAAGCTAGTAACACACATATAAATTATATATTAAACTATTACATAAAATAATTAAATGAATGATAAAATTAAAATTAATATTCAAAAGTATTTTTATTATAATCAATTATTTTACTATAATACTTTAATTTATAATTTATTATTATTACCTCGTCCATGGACGGATTACTGTAGTTTGTTATTAAGATCTAAAATTTTTTAATATTAAATATGTATATATATATTTTTAAAATGTATGTTTGTAAACGTCAGCCTTAATTAGAAAGAAATTAAATTAGTTATAGCATTAAAAAAAAATGCATTTTTAATAATATGCGTGGCGGTGGGAACTGAGAAATTCCTTTCAGCGGTATGAACTTGTACCAAGCACCCATCACTCTTGAACATTTTTTCCTCGAAATTTCACTACTTATGAATTTTTTGTGTATTTTCTTAGGAATTACTGTAGCCCCTCTTCACATTTCGCTTTCAATAACGAAAGCAGATGAGCTTCCATTAATGTCATCTCAAATTTCAGAGCCAAACCCTAAAAATCCCCCAAAATCAGAAGCGATTCAGATATTCCGTATGATCCTTGAAATCAGGGATCAGATTCAGAAATGTCTCGATACGACAACTGGGAGAGGCTTGTGGCCGCCGTGTTGAAGAAGGAGCAGCTATGGCAGCTCTTTCACGCCCAATCGAGAAGCCCAAGCAGCAGCTCCGAGTCGTCTGGCTTCAGTTTCGAGCTGGCTTCTTCACCTGATGACGTGAACTTTAGCTTTTGGAGTCCAGATAGGTCGGCGTCTGATCGGAGAGGAGGTGATAATGGTGGCGTTGGTACAGCCGCAGCCGCTCCCTCAAGGTAAGTTGTATCATGCTTAGTGATTTCTGTATTTCTTTTCTTTTATAGAAGCTCTTGAAGTATTTGAGGAAGATAATAGTTTGAGAAGATAGTCGATTGAGGTTCGAGATTGTAGTTTCTAGTCAAGTAACTTTAGAAGATGTGCATTAATAGCTCTGCGAATTCACTATTCCCAGGTTGTGCTAAACATTCTCACTTTCACTCATTTAGTTTGTAGAACTGGAAATTTCCAGTAAAATCTAGGTTATCTTAGTTTTTCCGATGATCCCGGTGATGTGGGGAGCTGTGGTTGCTTGCTTGAGTTTCACATAAGTCGGTGTTTCTTGAAATTGACCTACTGATTGATTTAGATCCGTGTGAGTGGATTTTGCTTGTAATGTGCACATGTTGAATTTTTATTCATTTCGCAACAAGTTTTCCTGCTTTTCCTGACAACCTGATCAAAGAATTTCAAAGTTTCTTTGTAGGATTCTTTTTCGGAAAACCATGATATTTATAGAAATAGTAAACAGTTGGTTAATGGACTGTAATTGCAAATTGACTGGAAATATTTCATACCTTCTTCGCTAACGTAAGGTCTTCTGTTTTGTAAACTGAAGCACTGTTGTTAAGGATCAGCCCTCTGTGGAGAACCTCTCCCCCAAGAAAAAATTGTTCTCAACTGCAGCTACAAGGAAAAGGGATTTAAGAATTCAAGTGCCTAAACCACTAGTTCAGCATTATGGAGCCTTCAGTCCTAAACCGTGTAGTCCTGTTCACTTTTCAAGACTTCATCCAAGAACTGCTGGGGGACACTTTGAATCGCCTGCTGATTGGCCTGTTGATGCACAACAACAATGCTATCCTTTGCCCCTTCCCCCGGAACCAATTTCCAATTCTTCTCCATTATCTCATCCAAATTCAGCTACAGCATCGCCCAAGGGACCATTGTATAGTCCAGAAAGAGCAGAGAGTCATAAAAGCCCTGACATGAGTTGGAAAAGAGGGAAGCTGCTCGGTGTGGGCGCATTTGGCAATGTTTACCTTGGTTTTAATAGGTGAGTACTATGGCTATTATATAGTTGCTATGTTGTGTGGATGGTTTCTTAATGAAAGGTCTTATTACTATGTGAAAGAAAAAAAAATGCTTTTTTTGGGGGTAGGGGTGGTTTCATTTTGAGGTTTTGTTTTTTAGATTTTTCGGTTTGATGATAATGTTCCTTGGTTTTAGCCATTTCTTGTTGGTTTCAGTGAAAAAGGTAAAATGTGTGCTATGAAGGAGTTCTACCTGCAACCCGATGGTGCAATGCCAAATCAAAGTGTCATGCTGTTTAGAACAGTGAGTTTCATGGACGTTACATATTTGAAAGACTCCTATCGTTTTGGTATTATGTGTATTAGACCCATTGCTTGTTGGTATTATTTCCTCCGGCAGTGTTTTTTCTCCTTTGTTCTTTTCCTTTATTCTTTTTTTCCATTTCAAGTTGATTAGAAAATTTTGTATTTATTCAATTGCTTGCAGGAAATTGCACTGTTGTCCACCTTAAAGCATCCCAACATTGTGTCGTATTACGGATCTGAAATGGTTAGTTTTGTTCCAGCATTTTCAGTTCTTCCTTACCCTAGACTTCTGTTGGCTGTGTAATCTACTGGGCACATAATATTTTATCTATGTTCCTTTTAATTTTTTTCTGTATCTTTTTTTCTTTTTTTCATTTACATCATTTGCTAGCGGAAAAATTGGAAAAATAATACCAGAATACTTCAAGCGCAGAAATCACAGCAGCATGATAATGCAACACATGTTCAGTTGTGCGTATTTGGAGTTTTTCTTGAGCTTCTACTAACATTGAGCTATTTTCCTTGACCAGGTTGGTGGTAATGTATATGTATATTTTGAGTATGTCGCTGGTGGATGCATCCAGAAGGTTCTGAAAGAATATGGAAAATTAGGAGAATCTGCCATCCGCATTTACACTCAACAAATTTTATTGGGATTAGCTTATTTGCACTCCAAAAGTATTACACATGGGTAAAAATTAGATTACAATGTATTGAAATCGTGGTGTAATTGGTTTTTCATTTCCCAAAATGTTTGGTCATTGCAAATCTTTCTCTGATGCACAAAATGTTGCAGGGATATAAGAGGGGCCACAGTACTCATTGACCCAAACGGTGGAGTTAAGCTGTCCTGTTTCGGCATTGAAAGAAAAGTATAATATCTTTATATTATGGTTAATTAGCAATAGGTTCTAATGAGTATGTGCATGGGAATCAATCACAAAAATAGCACTAAATCTACGTTTATTTAGTTATCGGGTGGTAATAAAAAAGTCAAGTTGATCTTATTTGCAGATGTGAGAAACTGAAAATTTGGATATTCGTTCATATTGTATAAATTGTTAATATTGTTAATTGTTCGTATTCATTCATAATGTAAATAGACTGATGTTTTAGCTTCTCACACTTGTTCTGTCTTGAAAATTTGATCTCACATAGGAAGTTGTGTCTTACAGATTGCGGTGCAATCCAGGCCATCACTGCTTACGGATAGCTCTTATTGGATGGCACCTGAGGTTTGTTTATTTCATATTAAATATGGCTTCTGTGGGTTGAGTTTTTAAATGCACGGTATATCTTACTTTTTCTTGCTTAGGTCATAATGAACCCAAACACCTGTAACAGAGCAATGGATATATGGAGTCTTGGGTGCACTATTATAGAAATGGCAACATCAGAACCGCCCTTAAGCCAATATAAAAAGGTGTGTCGATCTTTTTAGTTCATCCATCTGCATTGGTTTTCCTAATCTAACTAAGTTGGAAAATTCTATGGCATTAAATGCATGCTAGAGCTACAGAAGAAAAACAATTAAATAAATGAAACTGAAAGATAGGACAAGGAAAAAAGATGGTCAGTAAATTACAAAGTTCACATTATAAGTAGAACCGATGCACAAACTTTACTTGGTCAATTCCTTTTTTTGTGTCCTGTCTTGTAGGGTGGGGCCATGTTCAAGGTTGCGTATCATAAGGAACTTCCATCAATTCCCAATCATCTGTCTGATGAAGGTAAGGACTTTGTGAGGCGTTGCTTGCAGTGGGACCCGGTGCATCGAGCCACAGCTTCTCAGCTTTTGGAGCATCCTTTCGTAAAATATTGGTCACCTTTGACAAAACAAACAAGGGTCACTACGTTTCAGGGTTTTCCAACAGATACCATACCTTCTATGCTGGGAGCATCAAACTCTAATCTTCATCATAGGTCTCTCTCTCTCTCTCTCTCTCTCTCTCTCTCTCTCTCTCTCCCTCTCCCTCTCCCTCTCCCTCCCTCCCTCCCTCCCTCCATGCACCATAGAAATCATAATTTATCTGATTTCTGTGCAATTATGGAATAATCACAACTACTAACCTTAAGGTTTGGCTGAATCAACAAAAACTCTTGTTCATATGACATTACAAATAAACCCTTGAGATCGCAGTTCTGTAAAATAGGAACAAATACCGACGGCCTAGGGGTATATTTGTACTATCAAAGATAGCTGAGTACTTCTCTGTAATTACTAAGTAGGCTCAGCACGAGGGCATTTCTTTCAACTATTTCCTGCACATCTCTAGTTGCTAATTTTCTTGAAGCTGATAAAACCCTTGTGCTTACATGAAACAGAAAAGAATTTAAAAATGCAATAATAGTTTCCAAGACTTGTGAAAGATTTGGCCTTAGCAGTTTCCCATGGTTTTTTTTTTCTTTTACTTTTTTTTTTCAATTAATTTGCAGTGATATTTCAGCCCCCGTGTCCCCAATTGGGAGTGTTCTCCCACATTCAACATCACCTAAAAATCCGAACACGCAAAATTTTCTACCACTTAAGTCCAGCTCACCGGGCGTTAATAGTGCCGTATGGTATTCTCACCTTAATCGACCACTTTTGCCACCAGAGGCATTTCGTGATTCACCAAAACACATGCCCGGCACCAATATCACTCCTTACTGGGATCCCGAGATTCTCCAAAGGGCAAAGCATTCTCGTGAGAATAAGAAGCTTGGGAGTGCCGCGAATGAGCAGGTTAAAGAGCAGTTGGTAATGGCAGACCGGGTTTTGCAGCAACTCTTCAGGGCTCCTATGACTAGCCACCACGTGGATGGAGTGTAAAGGTTTTGGCTTTTCAAGATTCAATTTACTCTCCTATAATTTATTTATTCTTGTTTGAGATGCAACTTAAGTGAATGAGATGGAGATGAGTTGAGAGTTCTTTCTTGTACATACTGTAAAGCCTTAAACAATTTTCACTTTTTGAGTGTAAGCCCAAAGGAGTTGCAGGGTGGAGCTATAGACACTTTGATTATGTGACATTCACCCTTGTTTTACGCGTTTGTGTGTGTTTTTCTTTTCTTTTAAGGTTGAAAATTGAATTGTCTTGATATGGAGAGAAAACCAGTGGCCTAGCCTAGTAGTTCATTTCATGCCAATATCCTTCACCTTTTCAGCTTCTTTGTGATTTTTGTTTCCACAATAATCACCTATAAATCCTATTTCATACTACAAAAAGGTTGTGGAAATAGAAAATGGCAATATATCGAACGTTCCATAAACAAATGCTAAGGTAAATGCAGCAGGATCTGATTCATGGAGAGCACAACTGGGTAAAAGGGTATCAGTATCAATCTTCCATTGGCAAATTCTTGTTATATTTTACATTGTCATATATAAGATTATGGGTGAAATCCCACAATTTCTTGGCCAATTCTTGATCTTTAGCTTGCAAGCTCGGCTCAGCCAAGTTACAGTCTGCATAATATTTTCCGCTCATCCCTTTAACATCTGGATGCAGAGCCACATAGCACGTTGTTGCTGCTCCCTGCAAGTAATTTCCACAAGAACACAAACATGTCAAATTAGGCAAATAAAAATTACATGTCAAATTAGTTCTAATTTTCACAAGACTTAGGATTAGTAATATGAGACTTCGCATTCAAATTCTCACATTTAAAAACATATAACAAAAATACCTGTTGAACATCTTTCATCACATGCTTACCAAGAGCAGCAATCAGACCTGATGTGACCAAAAGTAAGAGGATTGGATGGGATGATATGAAATGAAAAATGTCACTTACTTTTTTCAAACCATTATAAGTTAAAGAAGCCAACACATTTAATACTCCAACTAAAAAGAGGGCACTTAACAATTAACATTGCATAGCATGAGTTCAGAGTGGCCAAAACAAAAATATTACCATTTACAAAGCTGTTATAACGGAATAGATTGGTGGCGATTAATCCAGGATGAACTGAATTAGCCGTAACTTCCACCTTGTCATCCTTCAAACACATTAACAATATCTTTTTAAACGATTGCAAAATGTAACATTTGACATATTGACATAGATATGCAAATCACTATATATTTGAAATATAAGATTGATATTCTTAAGCAAGAGCCAATTTACCTTCAATCGTCTGGCGACTTCGTTAGCATGCAGCAAGTTAGCAAGCTTTGATTGTCCGTATGCAGTTAGGCTGTTGTACCTGAGCATAATCACATTGTACCAAGTGAGTACATTTATCAGGGAAAAAAACGGCGTTTATAACAAAAATTTACTGACGCAAGTCGCAAGATATCATGATTCACAACTTGGGTAAATACGCTACGTTTTTTTTTTTTTTTTTTTTTTTTTTTTTTGTTTGTTTACTATGAATCTCTTTCAGATATTAGTTATATTACAGAATTTAAATGCCAAGCATGATGGGGTGAAGTGCTTTATGTTTTAATAAGCATATTTTATACTTTAATACTAGTTTTACCTTGATTGATCATTAATACCATCAAAGCGGATCCCTTCAGGATATGAAAACTTGTGCCGCCTGGATGACACGTTCACTATCCTTCCTTCTCGACTCGTTTCAATGGCTGTTTTCTTCATGGTTTCCAACAGTAAATTTGTCAGAAGGAAATGTCCTGCAATAAATCTCTGTAATAAGATTTTCAACTCATAAGACTAGTGAAAAACTGAAAAAATTCTTATCCGTACAGTTTTCAAAAATGAAATCTTTCGAAATTTAAGGTAAAAGCTAAATACAAGTTCAAAATACTTGCCCACATGATTTGTTGCGAACTGCAGCTCTATGTTGTCTTCCGAAAGCATGAATGGTGTAGCCATAACACCAGCATTGTTTCTAGTGAAAAGGTACAAGTATATTTCAATAAAAAGACAAGGTGAAAAAATGTGAAAATATACTGGTACCGGAAAAAAATTGCTTCATAAAATGTAGACACAAAAAATATTGCATACGAGTATGCACTTCGGATAACAAACAAACAAAACTTCCATCTTTCAGAAACCAACAAACAAGAACACACTTTAAATTGTTTTTTCTAAAGGAACAAAAAGAGAGAGAGAGAGAGAGAGAGAGAGAAACCCGACAGAAGATCTCATCCCGCGAAAATCAATTTGATTATATATCTACGATCAACTTTTCTTACACGAGTACATTCAGAGGAAGACCCATGGAATTAAATTTTGATGCAAATTTCCTGACAGATGTCATAGAACTAAGATCTAACTCCATAGTATCGACTTTTGCTTGCGGAATTCTATTGATGATTTCCCGTTTGGCTTCCTGTCCGGTCGAGATGTTTCGAACAGCCATGATGACGTGGACACCTTGCAATGCGAGTACCCTTGCAGTTTCTGCCCCGATTCCACTCGAAGCTCCTTTTATAGCAGTAACAATAAAGGCGACATTTTTAAGTAAATGAAGGTCAGTTAGCATGAGATATCAAGGATGGGAACACACTATTGAATAAAATTGTGTAAAGAACATTTTTGCCTCCACATTTTAGAGAAGGGGTTAGGACATCCTTTCAGTTTGTGATTGTCTAGTTAAAAGAAAAAAACAGTCAAAAATTTAAATATGCCCGCTTATTTGTTTCGTTCCTATAAATATACCCTTCAGAAATACAGATCAGAAGGGAGGCAACTGCAATTCTGTGATAAAGACGACAT